GGTTAAATATATATATTTATATAAATATATAGGGAAGAGAGGGTAATTTGGCCCTGCGCGCTGCAGGTTGTACATTTAAACAATGACACGGTTTTTCCACTCCGTTTGGCAAACCCCTCGGTGTTGTCGGGGGTCCTCACCCCTCACGGCAGCCACGGCCGAAGGGTTAAATATAAACTTTAAACATTCCCTGTCCCGCAGGAGCTCCTTTTCCATGAGCCGAGGTGGGCTTTTCCCCCCTCTCCTTAAATAACGAGGGTGGTCCCAGCATACTCTATATCGAGACAGCTTTTCATCAGTTGCTCATCAGCATGCTAATTGCTGTATGACTAATTATGCCCTGAATTCCAGTTGATTTTCTTAATGAGACAGCTGGGTTAATTATGTAATCGTATGATTACATTAGCCCAGAGTGCCCTGGCGAAAAGGAAGGCGGGCGGGAGTGGGATGGCAGCGGGCGAGGGGCACGGGGGCAGCCGTGGCCATTTGGGCCGTAATGATCGGGGAGAGCGCCCGCGGTGTAAACATGGGATGGGATCGCTGGCACTGGGAGCTGTGCCTTCCTCAGCTCGCAGGATGAGCGAGGAATGGGGTTCTTCAGCAAAAGTCACTTGGGAAGTTCAGGCAGTCAGCGATGGCCCTGTTGTAACTCGGGGATTGAGGGTGGGTTTGGGATGAGCGATGTCGGGGGTTGGAGTGGAGAGTCATTGAATATCCTGGGCTGGAAAGGGCCCACAAGGATCATCAGTCCAACTGGTCCCAATTATCCCACCCTTGGCATCCCTGAGAGCATTGTCCAAAGGCTCCTGGAGCTCTGGCAGCCTCTAGCTGTGCCCATTCGCTGCAGAGCCTGGGCAGTGCCCACCACCCTCGGGGTGAAGAACTTTCTCTTGATATCCAACCTGAACCTCCCCATACACAGCTCCAGCCATTCCCTCCTGCCCTCCCTGGTCACAGAGAGCCGAGATCAGAGCTGCAGACCCCAATGAGTCTCTCCTCAGTCTCCTCCAGCTGAACAAACCAAGTGCCCTCAGCTGCTCCTTGTACAGCCCCTCCTGATGCTTCGTTGTCTGCTGTCCCCTTTGGACACTCTTAACAGCTTTATATCTTTCTTACATTGTGACACTCAAAACTGCACCCAGGATGCTGAGGGGCTGCCTTGTGTAATGTGTAATTCGGGCAAAATCAATTCTTAGTGTTTCTTTTAAAATTGTTTGTGAAGTCAGTACTTTCCTTACCTAAACAGCAAAAAAAAAAAAAAAAGATTCCCTTGCCCTGCTGCTGAAAAAAGATTGATCGTCAGGGCATGTGCGTGGTGTGAGAACAGCCTGAGAGGTGTTGCTGTGGCTGCGTCGCACCAGCTCGTTTGATGTGAAGCATTAACAACTATAAAAATCACTTCGCATTTGTAACATTAATTGTTTTCATGTCTGTGTCCACTGAGACGTGTCCATCCTCCTCCTTCATGGGGACAGAGGCTCCTCTGCCAGGGGGCGGTGAGGTGTGTGCCAGCCGTGAGCAGGGATGTGCCCAGAGCTCTGCAGTCCTGGGGAAGGAGAGGCAGGAACGGGCTCTGCAGGGTGGGAAATGCAGGGTTGGAAATTCGGCAGTTTCTGTTTTACTGTGGTGGCGTGGAGGAAACCTCAGCAGGGATCGGATCCAGATGTGCTGGGCTGCCTGCAAGCGCAGGATGCAGGGGGCTTCGCTGTGGGTATGGCGTGCAACAAGTGGATTAGGAAAAACGAGCAGAATAGGAAGCAGGAGGAAAAAATGCACTGAATTTAGTGTAAAAATAGACATCTCAATCTACTCTTAGGCAGTAATGATCTTGCAAAACGCTTTTTCAAGTTCTGGATGATCGGATCCCTTTTACTAATTTTCTCTTTTTTTAAAATTTTATTTATCCCGTGCCCAGCAGGGATTCTGGAATTTCACAAGAGAAAATTCAAAGCAAGGGAATAATGTATGATGAGGTTTCCATATTTCAGTGTTCAGCGAGGTGATTTTTCTCTCTTACAGACCACAGAAAGGGCATTTCCTTTGCTGCCTCTCTCCATAAGCCAGGGCCAGCTGATTTTTTTGAGCTGTGCATGCCTGTTGTTTGTGTAATGAAACGAAAGTTTTGGTCCATTGCTTGTTTAAAAATTCAGTGACCTCCTGTTAAATGACATGAAACATACTTTGCAAACCTGGTTAATATAAAAAGGTATGCTTTTCCATGCATGCATGTGTTGGGAAAAGGAGAGTATTTTTATTTATTTTTAATCCGCTCCACTCAGGTAGGAAAAAAGCTATTGTGACTCTAAGGTTTATACTTGTTTCAGGTTAATTGGTGTTTATAAATACTCCAGAAATAACAGGTTTTTAGGCTTTTCAAGGTAAAAGAGCACGTTGGAGCTTGCCATGAGAAACGATTTTTCCTCTCCGCCCGAAATATCTTGGTTGGTCATTTTATTGTCGTACAACGATTAGTTTTCTTTCATGCCGTTTATAAAAATTAAGTCTAAGAGGTGCTTCACCCATGGGGTTTTTTACATGTCCTCCAGCAGTATTTGGTGGCTGCAGGCCATTAGTCCTTCAAATAGGCTCAAGTGAAGTTTGAAGTTTAATGCACAGAGACTTTTTTACATTTTGTTTGTTCTGCTGCTGTTTTGCTACTTGAACATTAACCTTTAATAGAGCTAAATTAAATATACATGTTCTGATGAATAATTATGAGATTGCAAGCATTTTCATTTTGTACACAGAGCTTCTCAGGGATTGCAAATTTGACTAAAGATTTAGTCATTATTCACTTTATAATGCCCATGTTATTTTTGTCTTTTAATTCTTTGCTGATTTCAATATAAAAAGTCCTGTGTATTAGGAGCAAAATACCTCTTGTGCGTGTCCTGGCTTTTTACAATGTTAAAATGAGGGTTGGGGAAAGTGCACCCACAATTTTGTCAAGTTCAGTTTCTTTCATCACTATTTCACAGAAATACCCACGGCTGAAGCTTAAGATCGCAGGCCCGATAGGATCCGTGGTTTCTGTAACAATTTCAGCCGTGGCCAGGGAGAGACAATCTGGCCTTTCTTTGTGCTCAGCAGATGAATGTCCCAGGCTGGCTCTTTGGGGGATGCTGAGCTGCAGGAGTGTGACAAAATGCTCCTTGCAGAGGAAGGTCAGGGACCTCCATGGGAGCAGGGGAATGTTGTGACAGCCCACACCGTAACAGGACCATCCATAAATACTGCAGAGCCTCCAGCTCGTGCTACTGCTGCCACTTCAGCTCTCTATTTAATTCCTTACCTGTACCCCCCTGTCTCTGCCACAATAACATTTTAAGTTTGATTTATTATAAATATTTTAATACAGATAATAATAACGAAAAGTATTTGGCCTAAAAAGCATAAATGAAAAAGCTATGTAGTCATAAACTATGTATGTACAGAGAACAGATGACAAGCAACCTAGATTTTGTATTATGAACAGGGTAATGCCATAAGCTGTTGAAGAACCCAAGTAACAAAATGCAGCAGGCTGCTACTTAGAATGTCTCTGAGTTCAACATAACCCAGTGCTATTCTTTTATAAACTATGCAACAACGCTGGCATATTGAAAAAACACACAGGCTCATGCTTAATGTGTTAACAGAGGTACAATAGACTTATTATGTGTTTCCAGAGACTGGAACTGAGGGTGGTCTGAAAAATTAATGACTGTGGTGGTTGAAAATTAAGTGAACTCCCTAATATATACTGTTGTTGATCCACTGAGTTTGGTGTTTAGCATTCCTCAACAGGAGACTAAATCTTTGCAGCCATTTCACAAGAGATGCTGGCGCCCATAGCAGAAATATATTCAATAATCTTTTATAAGTCCATCACACTCCAGAGTTTTCCTATCCTGACTGGGAAGAAATCCCAGAATAAATCACACTTGTACATGTCAGGTGTGTGCTGAGAACTCTCTTTACCAGAAGGGGATGAATGTCAGAGAATTAATACTGAGAGGACATTTGATTAATAGTGTAAGAGAAAGAGAGATCCAAACCCAAGGTTCATGGAATTGATTACATCCACACAACATTTCTGATTATTATTGATCTGTCAATTAGAAAAAGTACCACTCAGATCTCCATGGTCACAGAACCTGTTTGAGCTCTGCTGTGCAGGAGGGCACGGTTTGCTTCAGAAATTCACTCCTGCACAAGCAAAATGAGGGACAATAGCTGTCAGTGAGCTGTGCAGTTTGATTGCTTTTCACCCCAAAATTCTCATTTTGCAATAAAAAATGTGAAGCTTAAAACTCTCACGTGCCTTTATATCATGATTGTCTGCACCCAGGAACGCTGTCCTGGGGATTAGTGCCAGGATGGAGAAGCTGTGTCAAAATTTCATGGACTCACAGAATGGTTTGGGTTGGAAGGGACCTTAAAGCTCATCCAGTTCCACCCCCTGCTTTGGGCAAGGACACCTTCCACTATCCCAGGCTGCTCCAGGGGCAGCTACAACCAGGGCAGGTTGTGCTGGGACCTCAACACCCTCACAGCCACGAATTTTTTCCCAATATCCCATCCATGCCTGCCCTCTGGCAGTGGGAAGCCATTCCCCCTTGTCCTGTCACTCCAGGTCCTTGTCCCAAGTCCCTCTCCAGCTCTCTTGGAGCCCCTTTGAGGCACTGGAAGGAGCTTTAAGGTCTCCCCAGAGCTTTTTTTCTTCTGGCTGAACACCCCCAGCCTCTCAGCCTGACTCTGTATTTAAAGGGATCATAGATAGAATGAAATATTTCTGGTTTTTTAAGTTTGCAGGATATATGATGTGAGGAATGTATAGGACTAATAACTCAGAGAAAGGCCCTGCTGGCACCAAAATGGAGAAAAAAGGACAATTGTGCTCTGAACTGCTTGGGTCACAGAAATGTTCCTTTTTTCTAATTTTATTGTATTTTATTTTTTCATTTTATTTTACTGTTTCTTTTGTTTTGTTTTATTTTATTTTACTGTTTCTTTTTCAGATCCAGTTCCAGCCTTGGATTTGGGGCAGCAGCTTCAGCTGAAGGTCCAACGCATGCACGATATTGAAACAGAAAACCAGAAACTGAGGGAAACTCTGGAGGAATACAACAAAGAATTCGCCGAGGTGAAAAATCAGGGTAGGTTGCAACCACATTATCAGCTCTTAATGCACACTGAAATTTGAAGGCAAGGATTGAATTCAGTTTTATTTCTTAAAGGTAGAGGTGACAGTAGTGTTGAAATTCAGTAGAGAAAGTGCAGTAGCCTATTAGGGCCACTCCTGTATTGTGTGTGGAGCTGGGCTTTGGGCAGACTCTTTGGATTTCTTGAAAGTTCCATTTACTGTAGCAGCAAGTCAGAGGATGGAGTTGTTATTCTGCATATTTGGTTGTAGCCTTCAGCACTGAAAATTACACCTGACTGACGTTATTTGTGACATTTTGTGAGAGGCAGTGCTGGTACTGACATCAGGCTGAACGTGGGTGTTGGTACTTGCAGGATGTGCAGCTTGCACAGACAAACACAAAAATTCAGTATTTGGTATCTACATATGAATCTGTGCAAAATGGAACTTTTTCTGTGCTGTTTTTACTTATCTAAATGTACTACTGGAGTACATTCAGCATATACTCTTTATTTTTACTCTGGAGACCATCCACAGAGCAATGTAAATACAAGCTATTACTGTTAAATTATTTAAGTTTTAATGAGTCTAAAGTACATGAAAATACATGAAAATCTCAATGAGATTTAAAGCCTGTTGACTTTTAGACTGCTTAAGTTTTCTTGTGATTCACTTTCCTGCATCAGGAAAAAAAATTCTCAGCCATACACTTTGTTTCCCATCCATGAAGATTTCCATCTTTAATGCCCAGTTCTGGACGGTAGTAAGGTAAATTGTCTTGCCATTTGGAAAAATGGAGATTTTAATTTATTTTTTATATTGTGAAACTGTTGCACCCAAGTAGCATTTGAAAGCTGCGTTAGCAACTAAGTTCATTTTGTTAAATCTCATTTTTTGCCGAGAGAACATCTATGCAGTTATATCTTTTGTAATATTTATTTTTTTAATGCAGAGGGTGTGACCCCTGGAGAGGACAGGTATCAGTATGCCAGGATTTGGGCTGGACTGCAGGAGATATCATGTTGGAACTGTAATGCTCTAAGCAAAACTGTATTTTTTGCTGGAAATGTGCAATCATTGCAGTTCACTGTGCAGAGTTTTCCTGAGGCTGTGCATCCAGTACATCCAAGCATGACATAGGGGTTCATCCCACAAAGTGGAAAAGCTCTTGACTTGTAGAGTTTTTTGCTACAACCACTCATAACTGACATTTTTGATTTTCCCTGGTGTGCTGGAACTTCCTCTCCATTTCCCCACTGTAGCCTTTGTAATTTTGTTGTTTTTCACTCCAGTGCAGTGGTTTTACTCTCAGTTTCAAACAGGGATTAATAAGCTATCCAGGGAAAAGGCTGTTGTTAGCTGAGGGTGCTTTGATCAGTTAATCTCTTTGTTTGGAGGGTTGGTATGAGCTCTACTGTGCCTGTAAGAACTTCTTCCAAAACTGGTATAAATGGCAGTGCCTGACAAGCTGTAGCTGACCTGAGCACTGAAGAAGGCACTTAGTGCTTCAAGCAATGTAGAGGATTCAGCTGTTCTTGTCCAGCACCTCTATTGTTAGGTGCTTTAAGGTAAAACCAGATTTTATTACAAAAGTTGAATTTTCCCCCATGTTCGTGCACTTCTTGTGTTCGTTTTCGTTGTTTTGTTTTCTTTTAAAATCAGATATTGAAACTTAGTCAAGGTGCATTTTTGTAAGATTATTTTGCTCTCATCTTTTCCATATACCAGAATATTTTTGCAGATTTATATCTGAAGAATATAAAGGTGTTTATATAAAATACAAACACCTGGAGCAGAGGTGGCCCAGGAGGGAGTGCAGCCCCCTTTGCCCACAGGAGCAGCATCCTCCTGTCAGTGCCAAGGAGCATCCTTTGCTTATTCAGGAAGAGCTCAGGATTTGTATGACTTCCCAGATCTCAGGGAAGAATTTCCCTTTGCTGAAGAAAAAAAAGAGGTGACGTGTCCTTTTCACGGCCTGTTACTCAGTAATGAGCCTCAGCTGATTTCTGCACAGCCAGCAAAACCCTGCTCCTTCAGGCAGAGGCAGCTGCTTTGCTGGCAGGCATTTTTACCACTCTTTCCCCTTTTTTGTGGTCACAGTGGCTCAAGCTGCCTTTGGTAGTGCCCAGACAGCAGATCATGTCACCAGCTACCTCCTGTCTGCTTCACAGCTCCCTGCTCGACTTTCTGCATCAGGATTTTGAAAAGATGATGTGTGGGTTTGTGTGGTATTATTGAGGGTTTTTTCTCCCAAGCCCATAGGGTTTATTTTTCATATCAGGGTTTGTCTTCCTAAGGTTTTTCTGCAGAATATAAAACTTTTCACATCCAAAAGTTTTTATTTTTTCCTCAAGTATTATTAATGGTATCTGTTAATAAGCTGATGTCTTTAACCCCCCCTGCATCCTGGTGTGAATACTCTGAACTGTGTTGCTGCTGTGAGTCTTCTGGCAGTCCAAGGCTTTTTCCAAATTCCATTATTGTTACAAAGCATACTCTGGTGGATGTGCTGCTTTTCCTCTTGTGAGCCCTATAAGGATTCAGTCCTTTCCTGTGGGTGGGATCACAGGGCTTCCACGTAGGAACAGTAAGGAGATGTTGAGCTGGAGCTCTGCAGGTTTCTGCATCTGCTCCCATCCACTGCTGAGCATGGAGAAATGCAGGAGAGCTCCTTTATCCTAAGGAAGAGTTCTGCAAATTCCCTGCTTTAACTTTCAAGTGTCTCAGAAAGTTAAAATTGTCAATGTTTGTGTGTAAACCATGGGATGGAGGATGAGACAGCAACAGCAATTGGGACATGCAGAGCTCCAGTGCCTGCTGTGAGTGCAGCAGTTGGATCCCAGCAGAGCTGTGTCCCAGAGATGTGTCCAGTTAGTGTGAGAGCTGTGTCCCAGAGCTGTATCCCAGAGATGTGTTCAGTTAGAGTGAGAGCTGTTGTGTTCAGTTAGAGTGAGAGCTGTATCCCAGAGCTGTGTTCAGTGTGAGAGCTGTGTCCCAGAGATGTGTTCAGTTAGAGTGAGAGCTGTATCCCAGAGATGTGTTCAGTGTGAGAGCTGTATCCCATTGCTGTGTTCAGTGTAAGAGCTGTATCCCAGAGATGTGTCCAGTTAGAGCTGTGTCCCAGAGATGTGTTCAGTGTGAGAGCTGTATCCCAGAGATGTGTTCAGTCAGTGTGAGAGCTGTGTCCCAGAGATGTGCTCAGTTAGTGTGAGATTGCATCTGTGCATGAACCATGGTGGAACTGCCTCATAGGGCATGAGCACAGTCAGGTGAATGAAGTGTCCTGTGTGTAAATGCATACTTAAACCTGCACTGGGACTTTATTAATCTTCCCTCAGCACTCAGCTAATTTTAGGCTAGTCAATAAGGTGATATTATATTTTACAATTGATTTTTTTTCTTCTTTTTTAAAAAAAAATTCATGTTAGAGGAACCTTCTTCACTCTGCTTTCCAGCAAACTCCATTGATCCTTCTCAACCTAAACACTTAAAGTTCAATTTAACATTTAGGGAGTAAAAGGTCTCCAAAGGGACTCATATCCATTGATTTTGTGTCAGAGTTGAAGAGCTAAAGTTTAAAACACACTGAGCCTACAGGGTAAAGCAAGCCTTGTGTTGTGGAACCACGTGGAGCTGTGTAAACTCATTCTTCCCCTATTGTTTTCCTGCAGAGGTTACAATAAAAGCACTTAAGGAGAAAATCCGAGAATATGAACAGACCCTGAAGAACCAAGCAGAGAACATAGCCCTTGAAAAGGAACAAAAGTTACAAAATGATTTTGCAGAGAAGGAGAGGTGAGTGTGGGTGTGTGTGTGTATCTGGGTGTTGGGGAGGAGCAGAGAGGTGTTTTTTTGTTCAGTCTTCCCAGCCAGGACTGGTGGCTGGAGAGAGCTGATCCAGGGAGTGATTCTGGGATTTATGTGTTTGACACAGGATCATTTGATCCTCAGCTTTGCCCAGGAAAGCATTCAGGAGAGTGTGGAAGTGAAACTGGGACAGATTGTCTCTGTGATGTGGTGGTGGGTGTCACACCTGCTTTTATTCCTCCCTGGCTCTGTGACACCCACCTGTCTCCATTACCAGGGCAATTCCTGTGTGTCACACAGCCAGGGCCAGGGATGCACCACCCCTGCTCCCCTGGCAATGCCTGAGACAGGGGATTATCCTGAATTATCCTGGGAAGATTTGCATTTTCCTACCTGCCAAAATTAAGAAGGATTTTCATTATTTATTATCAATTTAAAAAGCCCAAAACATTTTGGATGCATTTCTGATCTTTTGCAAATGAGCAGGGAGTGTTTGAATCTTTAGGTTGGTGGGCAAATAAATCAGGCAGGAGAAAACCAAGGGGCTAAAGAGGGAGTTCTTTCAGGCTGCATTCCCTGCCTGGAGAATTTATTTCTCCCATGGAGCAATAACACTGAGGCTATAATGTGTTCAACACAGCGTGGAAAACCTTCAGTTCACGTGAGCTTTTTACTTGGAGGGTTGCTTGTTTAAATTCAGGGCTGAATGATGAAAATGTACCAGTGAATGCAAAGCTGCTTTTTTGATTCATCAATACCTGTGGCTGCTATTTGATAAGCAGCTTGTAAGCAAACTGCAATTTCAATGTACTTAAAAATAAAACAAAATGGCAGGTCGTGGAATGAAAATAAAAGCGTGTGTAAGAAAGGTTTTGAGTCTCAGAGTATATGGTTCAGTATGAAGGGAACTGACACATGATTCTGGCTATAAATAGTTATTAACCTGGTCAGCAGTGTTGGAGGAGAAATTTGTGCACCCTATGGAGTGCAGGCAGGATGCTGGTAGTTTCATAAGCCATTTCACAATTCTGAGATCTGCAGAATATCCTAAAAGCAGTGTTGTAAAAAGCACGGCTCCTGGGAGATGTTGGAGCAGCTCCTTTCAAAGATGAGTTTTATAACTCCTGCAGCCTGGCCCTTAGCAAGGAGTGCAGTGGCTGCCTGGCCACATGATGTAAAAATGAATTTAACTGACACAAACAAGAAAACGTTGCCTGTGGACGTAAGAAATGTGAGCATATTAAAGTTTTGCTCCTGTTCTATAGAAAATATCACAGTGAGATTTGTTTTGAAATATGTGTGTTTTCTTAAAGAGTAGCTAATAATATTGCTGCATTTGGCACCCATTACAGCTCTGATGAAACAGCTGCTGCATCTATTCACTCTATCAGTTATGGCAACAAATTCCTTCATTATGACACTAAAATGGAAATGTATCATTCTTCTTGTACTAACTTTGTACAACAGAGGGTGCTTGGTGACAATTTTCTCAATGTGTGTGACATTTCCAAAACAAATTATGCTCAAGAAAACCTTCCACTGAAGTTGTCATTTATATAGCAGTCAACTCTTTATAACATTCACAGCTTGTGTTATGAGGTGGCTACACTGTTAAAATTTTAATAAGTGGGACCACAAAGTAGGAGCAGCATCTCACAATTGTGACAGCATTTATGGGTCCCACAGAAGCACCTCAGAGCCTGTGTGGTGTTGGCAGTTGTCTCATTCCAGTTGAGACATTTGATGGCTCCATCCCCCAAATCTGCAAGGCACAGATGAGTTTCTTTGCTCTGCTCTCACCTCTCCTCTCCCCTTGACAGAAAATTGCAGGAGACCCAGATGTCGACAGCCTCGAAGCTGGAGGAGGCCGAACACAAAGTTCAAGCTCTGCAAACAGGTTTGGCATGGCTTTAGTGACCTTTTCCTGGGGATCAGGGTGAGGTGACAGGACAGGGTGTGTCAGGACTGGGAGTGAAGCAGCTCTTGGTGTGCAGGGAGGTCCAGCAGAGCTCAGATGTGCTGTGTGAATCCCAGCAAACACTCCTGTTGGAGCTGTCGTTGGCAAAAAACAGGGACAAAGCCATGGAGCACACACAGAGCATCCCTGGAATTACAGCAGGCCATGGAATTTACCCTCCATGAGTGTTCTGCTTCCACACATGTCCAAACTGTGATAAATATCTGTATGAACCCCATTTCTTGCCTGTCGCCATGACTTGCCATTAATTTTCATCCCTGCACACTTCTAAATTGCAGATCTGGGCACATTTGGCTTTGTTTACTATGAGAACAGAAGAAATTTTATTCCTTGAACTGCTGCAATAAGTATTTCAAAGGAATAAGCAGTTTAGCCAGCTTAATAAGAAATTAATAATGTCCAGCTTGGTTAAGCAGAAACTGGAAATTTTTGCAATGTAACAGAAATACTGTAAGAAATTGTGAAAAAAATCAAAACCCTATGGTTTTTTCCTAAGCCATAATGGTTTGCCTAGGTAGAAGGATAAAGCTTTATTTTTTTTTTTCATCAGGAGATGTACAGCCTTATTTATGACTGAATACTGCTATTTCAGTACTGTAATGCTTCATGTTTATGCCTTTTAGCCTTGGAAAAAACCAGGACAGAACTATTTGATCTGAAAACAAAATACGATGAAGAAACTACTGCAAAGTAAGATTTCCCTGTTTTCTTTCTGTGTCTTCCTTCAGGGTATCACTGATTTTTTTTTGTTTTGCATCTGTCTGTTGGAGAGAGATGAGATGAGGGAGGCTCAGGCATCCAAGTTTTTGGAAAACATGGTCATAATTTGGCCTCCTATGGAGAGATTATTAGTTTTTATATTTTCTTCTCCCCAACAAGACACTTCTCCTGGCACACACACTGCTGCATTCCTGGTTTCATTCTCAGGTGCTTCATCTGTGTATCTCTTACCCTCTGCATTTCCTGTATTTTATTTAGAAATAGAGCAGTTTCAGAAATAAGGTATTCATTATGATCTTCCCATCTTGGTGAAAACAAAGCTTCATTTAGTAAAGGATTTCTGTTTGATTCTTAGGCACCCTGGTTCTTTCTGCTTTTGGGGTAATAGTCCTTGCTCTGCCAGGTTCACCCCTAATTACAGAGAGCAGAATTTTGGGCAGATTTTCCTTGTTTTCAAGTAGAACATGAAGGTAGTCTTAAAAATATATATTCTTGTCTTGTTAATAGCTACTGTTTCCAATTATCCTGTGGTTTTATTAACCATCAGGGCAGGGAACAACAAAAGAGACAGACTGCTGCTGGTTTCCTTTGAACCCTTCATATTTAAGGAAAGTTAATAATGAGAAGGAATTCTCATGATCAGTGGGATTAAGCACAAAGAGTCATTTCAGTGTCTGGAAATGGGATGGGAATGAAGCAGCCATTTCAGATGGTTGGGACACTCAGGGGAAGGGCTGGGACTCAAAGTCACCTCCCTGTGCCCACTGCCCAGTGTTAAAAACCAGTCAAACTGGCACCAATTTTAAATTTCTTACCCTCTGGTTCTGCGGCTGTTGAGAATCTGATTCCCCACTGAGCATGTAGTTCACAAAATTCAGCCCATGGTAGTTTTAACCATCAGCACTTGGAGTTTAAACACCTTTTCTGTCCTTCAGGATAATCTTTCAGGTGAATTTTGTCTGGCTCTGGAAGTCCAGTTTCCTTTGAGCTCCATGTAAGATGAGTTCCATGCACAGGGATCAAAAATATTTTTGTTCCTTCATTGATTCATCCCTCTCTGAGGGATGTAAACAAAAGCTGGTTCAGATGGAGCCTTAAATTCCTGCAGATTGACTTTGTTTTTTCCTGCACATAGCTGATGTTGTTGTTGTTATTTCATGTTGCAGTCACTTCTGGGAGAGCAGGCAGAGATCAGTGGTTGTAGGCACTGAACCTAATAACCTCTCACCCTTTTTAATGTGTTTATTTGCAGAGTGCTTCATTTTTTAATACTGTTTCCCTAAGTGCTTAATTTATCTTGCACTGAGCAAAATCTGTTCTCTAAAATATTTGTTTGCATTTCTAATCTCATTTTTTTGGGGAGATTCACACAGAAATATTTGGTTTTTATATGATTTTGAGAGTGACTCTTACCTAATTCATATAGAATTACATAAAATTAGGAGCATCTGCAGTAACAAGATGTTTATTGTGTTCTGTAGCAGGATGATTATGGGGACTGGGTCTGGAATAGAGTGGTCGTGGAGCAGAATCCTGAAGCAGACATTAAAGCTTGTACTTTATCTCCCAGACTAATGTACTGTGAAAACAAACTTGTAGGTCCTAATAACAGCAGAAATATTTTATCATTGTTTTGGATATTTATGGCAGGAATAGTTCTTGCATAACAACAGTTGTCTGTAGTGTTTGGAGCCCAAATTTTGCAATATGGAAATCTAGAAGAACATGAAAAGGGAACTGAATGTAGACAGTGAAATTGAGTCATCTATTTTAATTGTAAAAACTGGGAGAAAGGCTGAAAAAACACCAATAAAAAGGGTGAAAGACAGTTTGATTCTTTTCTTAAAAGAAGCCCTCTTTTGATCTAAGTCTGAAAAGCTACTTGTATTGCCAATTTTAATTTTATGTTTTAAAAACATGTGATTTTTATCTTGGGCCAGAATTGTTAGTTTTACAGACATTTATTTGATGCAGATGAATTGGAGTGCCTTCAGGAAAAAAAACAGATAATTGTCAATATTTAAAAGCTAACAGTGCTTTTAAGATTTTCAGTCTCAGAATAAAGCTGTCTTTCAACTACTTGAAACTTTGAAAGTCTTTCAAGCAAGGCAAAAAAACCCCAAGAAGCAGAAGAAATACAGAGTGAGAAGTCTTCATTATCAGCATTAAGGAGTCTGGATTTTATCTTGGAGCCCAGTTGTGGTGATCTGAAAAGTTGGGAATCATTATGTCAACTTGTTTGTTTTATCTTTTCACAATGTCCCATTGAAAGTACTGTACGTGCAAAGGGAGGGACAGAGGCACAGGCAGGCACCTTCAGGTGAGATCAGGGGCTGGAATGAGAATTTCCAGGGCAATTCTGTCATTCCTACAGACAGAATTCCCAGCAGGTGGGTGGGGGCTGCCCCTGCCCTTCCCTGAGCCCCAGCACAGCCCCGGGCCGGGCACTGAAGGTGTTAATGACAAAAAGAAGTTTATTATGTGCAGTCATTGCAGTCTGTCAGCTGGAATATCAGAAGCTGCCTTTGACAAGATGGCAGGAGCAAAGTTTTCCATGTGTAGGCTTGAAGTAAAATGTAATTAGCCTTTATGTGCAGAACAAGGATCCATTGATGAATACAGCTGGTCTTTGTTTTCTTCTGTCATTGAGTGTGGGAGGTAAAAGTGTTCTTCTTCATGTTTATTAATACAAGATTCCTTAGACAAATGGCAAGCACAGTTTAATATTTGTTGGAACACAGAGGGGCTTGCCAAAACAGTTGTTGTGTAAGAGGATTTCAAGGTTTTCAGATTATAATCATCTCTGGGTTAAATAAATGAATGATTACTCTGCCTTTTTCAATTAAAGAGGCACATCCTCTCTCTTGAGGCCTGACACTGATTTTGTTTGCTGTCCCACACGTTTCTATCAGCAAAACTGGGTTTAACCAGCACTAATGAGTTTGATCTGGAGATTCTATCAGACCTGGAACTGAAAAGCAAACTCTGACTTGAGTTTCAGCAAAATTAAAGAATATTGGGGTTGTTTGGTTTGTTTCTAGTGCAACAGACTTTCCTTTTACTTTCTTTCTTTGTGGAAAAAGAAACATTCTGTATACATTTCCTCAGTTTTCCAGGGACAAACTGTTCTCTCTAACAGTGCTCTTTCACTTCTGCTTTGCTGCAGAATCCAAGCAAGTGCTTGGGATTCCCAGCTGGAATGGTTGGATTCCAGTTTTAGATCAATTCCAGAGCCACCTCTTTGCTCTGACCCCTGCTCTCCCCCAACCTAAATGAATTCTAATTGGAAAAGGACCTTGGGTTGCAGCACATACAGTAGGCTTGTTACATTACTGTTAACATGTGGGTTGAGGCTCCCTGCCTTTGATGAAAGAAAATATCGAATTTCACTGAAATGCTCCATTTTCACCAGCCAGCTTTAAGTAGTCTTGTGAGGATTTCTGGTACTGCCCACTCTCCCTTCCCCCTCCCCCCAGTTCTGCAATAAAAAACCTTCATAAACAACACAAACCAGAAAAATGTTTAGGTTAAGGTTGTCAGTCACTACCAGTGGATTTTCTGTAAGATTCAGACTTTTTGTCCTTCTAAAAGTAGCACAGGAATGCAGTGGAGAAGGAGCTTTTCATATTTACTGAAGCAGTCATCCAAACACAGCTACTTTCAATAACTTGTAGAAAAACATTTTGCCTCCAGTATATGGCCAGAGAATTGTTGTCCTTCCATAGATCAGACTGATTATTGTTTATTTTGGCAGCACAGCTAAGGATGACACAGGAGGACAATGGCAACAGGAGGAGATGCCTGTGGTTTTTGCCTCTTTGGGGTAAACTCTGCTTTTCCTCCACATTATCAAACAGAGCTGTCCTTCAGGCAGCAGGGTAAAATAAAGTTCTGCAGATGTGCTGTTCAGCATGGAAGGAGTGCAGGATTAGGAGATGGGACCAGAAGTTGTAGAGAATTCCTGAAGAGTTATTTCTGCCTGGAGTTACATGGTAGAGTTGAAGTATTCATATGAAATCTTCAAATCTGAGTTAACTTGGACTTCAGGGGAATAATTCCCAATATACAGTGAGAATTGAATTATTTACTTTTTTTTAAAACAAATCTTTCATGTTTAAGTGCTGGCTGGTGCCAATATATCACTTCTCAGATGTTTGTAGTCTTCCATTTTGATGGTGCTCGGGGTCAAACTGAATAAAAAATAAAGTTGTGCTCCCTCCAGCATCACATAATTACTGTGATAAATGGTCTCAATGCTGCTTCCCCCCATTGAGCCTGAAGTACTGTAGTTAGGGTGGTGATGTTGGACATGACATGAAATAACTTCTATTTGCTGTGCCTTTAAGGTCTTAAAGTTCCCTATTTCCTGTGCCTTTGATGAGTCATTAACTTCTAATGCTCAGCTCTGGAATTATTGCTGTATTTAAAGTGATTTCCCTAAAAACAGGAGGTGGAGAACTTCATAGGCCATGTCTCTTTTCAGAGTTTTTCCCTCAGTTTCCTAGTCCTGCTGCCACCAGTGAAACCCTAGGATTGGTGGCCAGGAGAAGATTAAAAACTAGGGAAGATGTTACAGAGAACAAATTAAAAAAAAAAAAACGTGAAGAGAAATGGAATGTTTTGAATCTTACAGAAAGCTCTGTTGCATGTAACATTTGAGGTTCAAACTTTTAACTGTGCCTTATGCAAAACTCACCAGGCTGAAAGTCACCATTACAACATTAATATTTGCTTTAAAAACTACAAGTGAAGATGAATGGAAACACTTTGGAGATCTGCTTCTTATTTTGACCAAAAGCTTTGGTGTGAAAGAGGGATTGAGAGCCCGTGTGCAAACCAGCCCTTTTTTGTCACATTTTTGGTTCAGCCTGCAGGGACACCAGAAAAGCTGCAAAGTTGTATGGGATGAGAATTCAGGGTTCCTGTAAAACACTTGGCATTAACCTTTAATTTTGGATAGGGAAACTGAG